TGTAACCCTGAAGTAGGAAGGTGAAGGTGTATTGCTGGCCTTGCCACTTGAAAGAAAGCTGTTTTCATGGATTATGGAAATAGCTATGAAGAAAAACGTGTTTGCTAGATCAGTGGCTGCATACCAGATACCAGAGGGATTTATTAATTTGCTCAAGCGATGAAACCACATCTGGTAGAGCAGCTGCAATTGGAGCCACCACATAACTAAGCTTATGATAATTCACTATCATTATCCAAGAGACATCTGTCTTCTACACAGGCCAAATGGAAGACTTGAATGGAGTTGTGATGAGAATCACTGTCTCTGCATCTTTAAAGTCCTTGATAGTGGCACTAATCTCTGTATTCCTTCTGAGACTGCAGAATTCCTTTTAATTCACTATTTACTATTTTCTTAGGTTGACATAGTTCTAATGCCTTCCAATTGGCCTTTTCCAATGTAACTAATAGCCCTCATACCTCAGGACAGGAAACCAATGTAGGGATTTCACCAGCTGTTAAGTATGTCTATTCTAATTATGCATTCTGGAACTGAGAAAATAACCACAAGCTGAGTTCAGGGACCCATTGAACCCTGGATCCTAAAAATATACATGTGGAAGCCCCATTCAAATATAGAATACAGATTGGGCATCCCAAATTCAAAAATCTGAAATCCAAAGTGTTCCAAAATATAAAACTTTTGAGTGCCAACATAAGTCTCAAAGGAAATGTTCATTATAAAATATCAAATTTTGGATTTTCAAATTCGGGATGCTCAACCAGTTAAGTATAAAGCAAATCTTCCACAATCCAAAATATCCAGTCTGAAACACTTATAGTCTCAATCATTTTAGTAAAGAATACTCAACCTGTAGAAAGTAAATGCAGGTCCTGTGGTCATTTACCTCAAGATGAGCATGCCAATGAGAAGCTCACATAGCCAGTAGTTTGTTATCAACCAGTTCACAAGGCTAGTTGCTGACCTCAAATAAACTAAGGTTAGAAAAATAGCAAAATCTACAAGAGAATGTTTGGAGACATGTTTCCATGGGTCTCTCACATGGTTGCAAGTCTTGTTTAGTGGTGTTGACAGCCTTTTACAAAATTGTCTTTTCAAGGATGTTTGTATAGCAAGCTGCCTTGGAATATAGAGATAATGTCTCCCTTCAGAGCACAGAACAGATTTGTTTCTTTACTAGACTCTAAAAATAATGTTTTTCTCTGAAGAAATGTTGGGCAGAGTTGTCAACAGCCCCTATATCAGTCTGTTTTCATGCTGCTGGTAAAGCCATACCCAAGACTGGGTGATTTTTAAAGGAAAAGAGGTTTCATGGACTCACAGTTACACGTGACTGGGGAGGCCTCACAATTATGGTGAAAAGAAAGAGGCACATCTTACATGGAAGCAGACAAGAGAGAAAATGAGGACCAAGCAAAAAAAGTTTTCCCCTTATAAAACAATCAGATCTCATGAGACTTTTAACTACTACAAGAACAATATGGAGAAAATTGGCCCCATGATTCAATTATCTGCCACTGAGCCCCTCCCACCATTCATGGGCATTATAGGAGCTACAATTGAAGATGAGAATTGGGTGGGGACATAGCCAAACAATATCTGCCCTCTGATACAATTGGGGGTTTTCTAAGCACAATTTTTCAAAGTTATAACTAGACCTGTTTGTACACTATTCACTTGGCCCACTCTGTATCACAACCTCATTAAACTTGGGGGCAAGAGAAATTAATGCAAAATGAAGCTCATGCTCCCTCATCTGCTGTTTGTAACACGTTCTTTTGGCTCAGGTCCACAAGTTGTATGTCTTCTGCCATCATTCATGAAACTGTGGCATGCCAAGTGTTTAGCCTGCAAGCATACTAAAATTTCAGACACTTCAGAGTTCTTGATACCATAATTAATAAAAGCAACTCATGCCAATGTTCTAGTAACTGTAGGATATCACAAATTAAAATTCCGCACAGTCTAGACCAAGATAATTGTAGCTAAAGGGTCAGTAAAAACATTAGCAGCATCTTAGATGTCTCCAAGAATATGCTTAATAGTGTTAGACTCATTATCAAGCCCTTGCATCTTATTAAACAATAAGGTAGGCATGTGGTATAGTATTGTACTATCAGTAGTAGCAATTACTTACTACTAGAAGAGGAAGTCAGGGAGAGGCACATGAGTTGAAAAACCATCTATTGGGTACCATGCTTACCACATAGGTGATAGGATCATTTACCCCAAACCTCAGTGTCATGCACCAGGTAAAAATCTGCATATTTATTCCTTAATCTAAAATTAAAGTTGATTTTTAAAAAAAGAAATTATGGCATAGACTCTATGTTCTATCTGTTTTCCTCAGTTATACAGTGTTCTGCATATAGTAGAGGCTCAGCAAGGTGCCAAGGAAATGGTGTAATATTTTGAGTTTCCACTGGTTCTAGAAAAAAAGGATGGTTAACTTCCTTTTGTAAAAGGAGCAACATCATATTTCTCAGCATCAAAGCTTTTGTGACATTGCTTTAAACTATCTTCATTAAATTCAATAAATGATTTATTTGACTGTTAGAACACTGCTCTAATTTGATGTTTATGACTTTTTTCTGGGCAGATCTTTATAATTTCAAAAATAGATATTTAAAAATGTGACAGCCTTATGGCTTTCTTAAACTCTTATGTAACTCCCTAATTAAAATATTCTCTAATGATCTTCTTTATATTCACTTTAATTTGGAAGGAAAAAAGTTTCCACGTTCCTTCTTTTACATTGTAAATAGTACAAAGGCACAGCGAGCACAAAAATATACAGCACAAAGTTTAGATATGCAACCTCAGCATTCTAATGATTTTTTTTATATTAAAATTTAGGATTTTTCTCAAAACATTTACTGCTCTGAGGGCTCTCAGCTTCAAATTTCTTTGTACCAGTTGATTGATATGACATAAACAATATGTAATTGAGGAAAAACTTTGGATATTCTGACCATAAGTATTAATGACATCTATGATGAGGAATGCTGCTTCTACTAGAATATAAGTTTTATAATGTCAGGAATCATTTCTGGTTTCCTTTATCCACATTGCCTAGAAAATTGCAATAGAGTAGATATTTAATAAATAGTTTAATTAAGTAAATGAATTTGTGACACTTGTCTGAGTTAGATAAGGCTATGAAGAAGGAAAGAAAGTACTTTATAGAGGAGTTGGTTTGTGAGTTTAACATTTGTATTTGTAACCCTTCATTGCATGCTAAAACCTGTTTTATAATTTCCATAAGCTGTATCACTCTAAATAATCATCTTATTTATTTATGTGTATGCTATCTCTTTCTTTCACTAGATCATAAATTCCATGGAGAAAGGTACCATATCTGTCTTATAAAGAGGTATGTCTTAGGCACAGGCACCTCAAATAGTAGTAGGTATTTTATATATATATATATAAATATATATATATATAAATATATATATATATATATATAAATGAAATAATAAATTTAATATGGGCTTGGTACCTCTATAAAGCACAAGACAGAAAACCGTAAGGTAATAAAATCCAATTTTTTGAATGGTGAGACAGACCCACTAGAACGGCATTTGTATCATTTTGTATATGAGGCATGGTTATGGAAATTACTTTCTTTAATAACCAGGAACCTGCTTATAAATTCTGAATATATATGAGGATTGAAAATTTCTTGAGGACACTGGTAAATCTTTGTTTCAGGATACATTTATTTATAGATTGGAGAAATCTTTAAAGCATAGGTGGTAACTTCATGGGATTGATGCATTCTAGCTTTATGAGAATATTTAAATAAAATGAGGTATAATTTATTTGTTATGATTGTATTTATATATTATTTCATTATTATTATTAGTAGTAGTAATATATGTTGTTTTTAGTGAAAATGCCTATTATATGACAGGCACCAAAGACTGGTTTTTCATGTTTAGATTTACTGTTCCTCTTATTTTTCTGAGGTGTCTTCAGACCAAAAACAACCTGTCCAGCACTACCCAAATTTCTGAGGAAGATACACAGTGTCGGTACATCAGTATGAACTCTGAGAGGAACTATTAATATATTCTCTTTCTTAAGAGATAGATATCAATTATTTGGACATAGACTACATCTCATTGACAAAGCAAAAGTTCACAAGCATTTTCACTTGTTAATTATTCAGTTTCCAGTTCCGTTAAGAAGAAATGTCAAATAAAAATGTCAGATGTTCGTTTCAGACAGGGTCTCAAAAAAGAGAGCAGTAAATTGGAAGAATTATCACATTCCAGGATATAAACGGTACTAGTTTACATAGTACTGTTTAACTTATATGGGACTGAAAACCTTCATCAAACTTACAAGAAGGTGATAATAAACTCACTGACAGGTTAGTAACTTATGAGACAGGTATAGTCATGCACCATGTAATGACATTTAGGTAAATGACAGACCACTTATATGATGGCAGTTCCTTAAGATTATAGTGGAGCTGAAAAATTCCTATTGCCTAGTGAAACTGTAGCTGTCATAAGATCCTAGCATAACAAGTTCTCATGTGTTTGTGGTAATGTTGGTGTAAACAAACCTACTGCACTTCCAGTCATATAAAAGTACAGCAGTACAATTATATAGAGTATATAATACTGGGTAATGTCAATAAATGACTGTGTTACTGGTTTATATATTTACTATACTATACTTTTTCTGAGTATTTTAGAGTGTCCTTCTACTTACAAAGGAGCCTCAGGCAGTTCCTTCAGGGGGTATTCTAGAAGAAGTCATTGTTATCATAGGAGATGACCGCTCCATGCATGTCATAGTCCCTGAAGACTTTCCAGTGGTACAAGATGTGGGGGTGGAAGATAGTAATACTGACAATCCTGACACTGTCTAGGCTTAGGCTAATTTGTGTGTTTGTGTCTTAGCTTTTAACAAAGATGTTTCAGAAGTAAAATAAGAAATGAACATTTAAAAGAATACAGAATAAAGATATAAAGAAAGAAATAATACTTTTGTTAGTTCATAAGCATGATGATTGAGTATTCACACACATGCATGACACATGCAACCCTCTCACCTTGTTAAGATGTTGGCATATAACCCATCTTACGTGAAAAAAAGAAAAAAGATGTGTACAGCTGAACAATGTGTTTGTGTTTTAAGCTATGTCATTATAAAAGCCAAAATGTTTAAAAAATTAAATGTATAAAGTAAAAACATCATAGTAAGCTAATTATTAGTACTAAAGAATTTATTCAATAGATTTAGAGTACCCTAGGTGTACACTGTGTATGAAGCCTATAGTAGTATACAGTAATGTCTTAAGCTTTCACATTCACTGATCACTCACTCGCTCACTCAGAGCAACTTACAGCCCTGCAAGTTCCAGTCACAGTAAGTCTTCTATACAGCTGAACCATATTTTTTGTATCTTTTGCAACATATTTGTGCGGTACATTTTCTAGTTTTTAATATATTTAGATACACAAATACTTACCATTGTGTTACAAATGTCAATGGTATTCAGTACAGTAATGAGCAGTACAGGTTTGTAGCCTAGAAGCAATAGGCTATCCCATATAACCTAGGTCTACAGTGAGTTATACCATATAGTTTTATGTAAGCACACTCTATGATGTTTGCAGAATGATGAAATTTCCAAAAATGCATGTCTCTGAATGTATCCCCATAGTTAAACAACACATGACTATATATACATGAACAGGGTCCAGTTATCTGCACAGAGGCTTCTCTGCTGATACACAGGAGATAAATTTGTAGATATGATCACAAAATGGCTTTGTGACTATAGGATCAATTTTCTATAGTAATAATATTATCTGCTTTGTTTCTATCTTTCATGTAGTTACTTACTAGCTACTGTCAATTTCACCTCTGAAATGTATCTTAGATGCTTTTGCACATTTCTTTTCTAGTTTCACTTACTTTGTTCATCATATTTTCCTCTGAACACTAGCAATGCCATTCTAACTGCCTTCTCCATTTTTATTCTCCTTCCTATGGTCAGTCTCATTCTTTTCAAATTCACACTATGGCTTAAAGAACCTCTACAGTAATCAAGTCTGATTATATGCCATGCAAGACATTTTGTGCAAAATCATCAATGACTTTTCACCATATTCTAGGAGAAAACAACACACACACACGCACACACACATCCACACACACTCATGCACATCCACACACACATACGTTTAAGCAAGATAACCAATCAGGTTTTATCATCAACCTCAATCTATACTTTCATCTGCTTTTCCTAAAAATAGTCTCCAAATAACCTGCATTCCCATACTGCTTGCCTTAGTATTTGCTACTTCTAAAATATACTAAGTCCTCCTTTTATCAGCTTATGCTGTTCCCATATCCTGAAATGTATTTCCACACTTTGCCTATGAATATCCTTTTCCATTGAGATCAAAGTCAAATGTAATATTGCCTTTGAAACTTTCCCTGATCCATCTATGTATACAGATTAATTCTAATTCCATAATACATGTTTAATGATACTATTTTGCACTTTTCTATTTTTTATCTTATATTTTTGGCGTATGTCTGCTTCCATCAATACATTCTTAGCACTTTAATGGCATGACCTGTCTCTTCCTCATTTCATGTCTATCTTAATTTATTAAGGCTACTATTATAAAATAGCATAGACTGGGTGGCTTAAACAACAGACATTTATTTCTCACAATTCTAGAGCCACAAATAGATTTCCTTCTTAGTTAGGGCCTGATTCTTGGCTTGTAGATGGTGGCTGTCTTGCTGTATCTTTGCATGGCAGAAAAAGAGCACAAGAGCTCCACTGTCTGTTCCTCTTCCTATAAGGACATTAAATTACATCATGGGAGTGCCAACCTCTTGAATTTATCTAAGTCCAATTACTTCTGCAAAGCCCCATCTCTTAATATATCTTCTGAAATCCAAGCAGAGGTTCCCAAATCTCAGTTTTCAACATCTGTGCACCTGCAGGCTCAACACCATGTGGAAACTGTGAAGGCTTAGAGCTACTGTCCACTGAAGCAATTGCCTGAGCTGTACTTTGTTCCATTTTGTCATGGCTTGAGCGGCTGGGATGCAAAGCACCAAGCCCTAGACTGCACACAGAAGAGGGACCCTGGGGCCAGCCCATGAAACCATTTTTTCCTCCTAAACCTTCAGGCCTGTGATGGGAGGGGCTTCTACAAATGCCTCTAACATGCCTTGGAGACATTTCTACTGTTGTCTTAGTGATTAACGTTTGGCTTCTTATTATGTATGCAAATTTCTTCAGCCAGCTTGAATTTATCCCCAGAAAAATGGAATTTTATTTTCTAATGCTTTATCAGGCTGCACATTTTCCAAACTTTTATGTCCTGTTTCCCTTTTAAAACTGAATACATTTAACAGCACCTAAGTGACCACTTGAATGCTTTGCTGCTTATAAATTTATTCCTTCAGATACCCTAAATCATCTCTCTCAATTTAGAACTTCCACAAATCTCTAGGGCATGGGGAAAATAATGCCAGTCTCTTTGCTAAAACATAAGAAAAGTTACCTTTGCTACCATTCCCAACAAGTTCCTCATCTCCAACTGAGGCCACCTCAGCTTGGATTTCATTTTCAATATCATTATCAGCAATTTGGTCATAGCCATTCAAACGTCTCTATGTAATTCCAAGCTTTCCCATATCTTCTTGTCTTTTTCTGAGCCCTCTGATCCCTACGACCTTTTCCAACCCCTGCCTGTTACACAATTCTAAACTCACTTCCACATTTTTGGGTATCTGTAGTGGTGCCCTTCTCTATTAGTACAGATTTACTGTATTAGTTCATTCTCATGCTGCTGACAAAGACATACCTGAGGCAGAGCAATTAAAAAAAACATTAATGGACTCATAGTTCCACATGGCTGGGGAGACCTCAAAATCATAGTGGAATGCAAGGAGGAGCAAGTCACATCTTACATGGATGGCAGTGCAAAGAGATAGAACTTGTGCAGGGACACTTCCCTCAGATCTTGTGAGACTTGTGAGACTTATTCACTAGCACAAGAACAGCATGGGAAAGACTTGCCCTCATGATTCAATTAACTTCCACCTGGTCCTTCACACAGCATGCAGGAATTCAAGATGAGATTTTGGTGGGGACACAGCCAAATCATATCACCATTCTTGGTGTAGGCATCCTGGGGGACCTTGAATACCACATTTTTTTAAGATGGAGTCTTACTCTGTTACCCAGGCTGGAGTGCAGTGGCATGATCTTGACTTACTGCAACTTCACCTCCTGGGTTCAAGCAATTCTCATGCATCAGCCTCATAAGTAGTTGGTATTACAGGCATGTGCCACCATGCCCAGCTAATGTTTATATTTTAGTAGAGATCGTGTTTCACCATGTTGGCCAAGCTAGTGTGGAACTCTTGACCTCAGGTGACCTGTCTCCCTTGGCCTCCCAATATGCTAGGATTACAGGTATAAGCCACCATGCCCAGCCACATTAGATGTAAATGAATCAATGAGTCAAATAATGGTGCATTTTTTTCTCCTAAATACTAGATGCCTTTGTGCTACACTCTGGCTGTTCAAAGTCCTTAATATTACATAATCCTCAACTCAGATCTTCTTTTTTTCCCCCCTCAATTCATTCTTATGTTTGGCCTTGAGAGCTTCTGAAGTTATTGACTGTCTATTAACAACAAAGATCATATGAGTGATATGGACAGGAGAAAGGGAAACACTGGGTAGAATAGGGTGATTCCCTGTCAAAGGCCCCACCCTCAAGCCTGGAGACCCACAGCCTAAAATGGGACAGGCATTCCTGTTTTCATGCCCAAAAAGTTGTCTTTTGGCCTGCCACACCCCCTATCCTGTACCCATATAAACCTCAAACCCCAGGCTCCAGAAGCAGATCAGCAGGTGAGGAAACAAGAAGACAAGAAGACTGATGGCATAACAATGCAACAGAGAAAGAGAGAAAGGAGGAATGCCTCAACTCTGAGAGGAGTTTCGCTGGGGTTAGTTGGAGAGGAATTCAGCCACTGGACAGCCAAACTCCAGGGGAAGATCATCTTCCTACTTCATCTTCCTGCTGACTCCCCATCCATCTTGCTGAGAGTCACTTTCAACACTCAATAAAACCTTGGATTCATACTTCAAGCCTGTTTGTGACCCCATTCTTCCAAGGATGCTGAGTAAGAGCTTGGGATCTAGAAAGCTGTCACACTGGCCCTGTGCTTTTGCAAAAAGGCAGAGGGTATATTGAGCTGGTTAACACTAAAGCTGTCTGTGGACATCAGGGCTGAAAGGGCACTTTTGCACCTGTCCATCTATGTGCTCCCACTCCCCTCAGGGTTTCAAACAGTGGCAGTAACCGAACAGGCAAGCCACATCCCTGTTGCATCTATGAAGGAGAGCAGGGAACTCTCCTGTTTTATATGGACCTATGACTACTGACTAATAACTCACTCATACTTACTTTCAAACAAGGAGGTGAGAAATAAGATTTATAATGGAATCAAGTCATATTATCAAAACTTGTAAACTCACTTTATACAAAACTTGTCTGCAAACATTTAGCATATATCCTGACTTTGCACTTGTTTTCAATTGCAGTTTTTAAAGAGTTAACTTAAAAGTTTATAAATATAACATCAGAAAAAGAGTAATGTAGTGTCTCCAGTACTGAGCTTGTTATTGTATTTCTATTATTATCTGTCAGTTGAATACTGACAGTATGGACAACAAACAGAAGATTTCAGGGAATGTCTATAATTGCATATAACATACATGTATCAAAGAAGGGAAGCAACTGTAATAATTACAAAATTGTTACTGAACGCTTTGATCTGTCAGCTAAAAGACAGGAAGTAAGATCATCTCATAGCTCCAAAATTACAGATGAAGTTACACTGAGTTAGATCAGGGCTGTTCACTCTCTCTCTTTCACATACACATACATACACATACACACATATACACATGCTTTTTTGACCTCTGATGTAGAGCAGTGTGCTAATCACATCCTTGGGACATGGTACTCTTTCATTATTGATCTGTACCAGTTTCCTGTCTTAATCTATTGTTTTGTCCGGACTCCTGCTGGTATTT